AGCGTTTAGATCGCGCGATCCAAGCGGTCGGATCGCGAGGTCTGAACGCGCTCTAATCTGGGTCTGGGCTTAGCTTTAGTACCAGTCTCGAAGCTATCCAGATGAAATGCAAATTCGCGCATTTTGAGGTCCACGCATGCAGACATCGCTGATTCATCTTCTAAAAAGAATCATCGTCTTGGTGGGGGCACTAAATGGTCTTCAACGAACCTTGTATGGGCTGCCTCATTGAGAGTCCTAAATTCTCGTAACACAAATGGGTCATTTGTACCATTTTGCCGCTTCGTTAGAATTGGCTTTACTTTGGTGAAACCATTTGGTTAATATGAACCAGCAAAAGAATGTAGAGAAAGGGCAAAATGCTCCCCCTCTCCTCCAGCCGAATAGCACATGTTTTCGCAAATAGACCGTCAGGTGTCCACCATCATGGGTGTACATGGTTCTGGTCGCAAATGGGCTGAATTAGCCACTCTGATATCTACGTTTCCTTTTGTTTCCTCCCTGCAAACGTTTAGAACAACAAGAAATCACCGTATTCCAGCATGGATATCAACAAGTTGAAATTCGCTGTCAGTTGCTCGAGTAATATGAATCGAAGTATGGAAGCTCATAGTTTTATGCAGTGAGTAGCCCTCGTGGTTGGTTTCTACGCATATTTTGATGAATTTTTTTTCAGAAAACGAGGTTTCAACATTGAATCTTATGGTTCTGGAAATCAGGTCAAACTTCCTGGCACAGCTATAGACAAACCAAACTGCTACGAATTCGGGAAGGCGACTTATGAATTCATTTATAATGACCTCAAAGCAAAGGATTCTGCATAGTAGGTGGTCCTACTTTCATATCGATAGCATACCTTTCTTTACGCGTCATTTCAGTTATACTCAAAACGGCCTTTTAAATATGTTAGATCGAAATCGTCGAATAAAGCCTGCTCCACAGAAGTTCCAGCACGAGGATAAAGAGTTCGACGTCATTATTTGCCTTGAGGAGAGGGTTTACGATCAGGTAATTGAGTTTCGCAGTATTCGTGTTTGCTACGACTTTTATTATTTATTCATACTATGGGAAAAGGCCTTCTGATTGCAATCGAAAAGACTGTAAGGAAGTACTTGTGGTAGAATATCATACGCTCAATGCCCACGCGGCGACATTACCCGGCCCCTCTGTTCGTCCTCGCTTTTTTAATGTCTTTTCTGTGTCTTAGGGGAGGGGTCGTTCCTCGCATCGTCTCGGTATGGGTGTGAAAAAGGAGATATAGCGTTATTTCCTAGTCACAGTATCGCACCTTTCTAGGGTATGTCCCAAGGCAATTGCAATATACCGCGCTGGTGGGTGTGGCGAGCCAGTCAGACGAGTTTTCCTACTTGGCCGTTTGAATCTGAGTGCCATATAGATGGAAAAATTCGATATCGTCCGTCATGCGGTCTTATTTTTGCTTGAATTTTGAGTTGAATGAGATTTGCTGAACAAAAAGTGATGCACATCGAAGTTGCAGCACGATACGCCAACGCGGCCATTTACGATTTTCTTGTCCGACTCCCCTTCCTTAGCTAGTTGACATGGGAGACACAGACACAGGGAAAGTCGACACGCCGTAGCGCTGCGACATTGGGGTGTGTAGCGTCACTTCCTAGTCGCGGCATCGCGCGCAGCATTATAGTCTCTCCTAGCTAATTAACTTAAAGACAGCCCCCGCGCTCAAGTAGTACATGGTCGTCCTTCCTTGTGCAGGTAGTTCAGCCCCCAAGCTAGATACTGTCCCACTCTCGCGACTCCTCAGCGAGCGAGGAGCGAGCTACAACCGCTCAAAGTTCTAGTTCTAACGCCTGCTCAGTTGGACCGCCTCACTTGCTAGCTGCCCTCTGACGGAGAGCCGCTCAGTTGTTCTTTGTTGGGACGGCGGGCATTAATCGGAACTGCATGTACTTTTTGCTGACCGCGCTCGTGCCCATAAATAATTCTGCTCTCCTTCATCACATTTTATTCATTGGGAGCACATACAGTCAACTGCAACCCATCTCGTAAGGTAAAACGCGTAAAAATCACGAATGATGCAATTTCTGTGGTGCAAAAGCTCGACGCACTTCACTACACTAAAATATGCTCGCTACCGTAACCCTAAGTTCGGACGCCGGCTTTTTAAATGTTTCCTTTTCTTTTCAAG